ATACATTGTGATAGTCAATCAGTGATTGAAATGGCACATAAATAACATGTATAATGGGTAAGTTAAAACATATACGTTGTTGACATAATACCATAAGGCCTCTATTCTCAACCGGAGTTATCTCTTTGGACTATGTAAGATCAAATGATAATATTGCGGATCTGCTAACCAAATGGTTAAATGGAGAGTTGGTTCGAAAATTATTGAAATGAATGAGACTTAAGCCCTTAAACGAATGAGTTAATACAAAGAAAATCCAACTTAAATGACTGGAGATCTTAAGATTTAGGTTCAAAGGGATAATCTACTTGTAAAAACTTAATTAAATCATTGTATATGTCCATTCCTATGATGTAAAAGTTATGCCCGTAGGGATGAAAGATAAGCAATAGACTTTTAATGATTCTTATGCGTCGAAAACCGTAGTGAAGTAATGCAGGTTACTTGTAGAAATCACCTATGTAAAAGAGAAATGGGGCCACTTCTAAGAAAATTGTGTAGGGCTCAATTCTAAAAATTCTTATAACTATGAGAACTAATAATTATGAGAGCTAATTTGTGTTGGGAAGAAGCCGGTGTGGAGTGTGTCATCTTTTACACAAATGACACGAGAGTTCAAGGACATCATGTCTTTTAACCAGTTTGTAAAGTAAACATACTTACACACAATGGAAGGTTCAAAGGGTAAAACCTACTTATCCTCTGCACGTTTTGACCGTTGAATTTTACACCACGCCCGTCGTCATTGTTGTTAATTTCATTCATGCGGAGAATTGTTGAAAATTAGTATATTAAAGCAATGTTTTTAAATTGAATGAAATTGTAACAACAATTCATATGTTTCAAGTTTAGTCAATTCTATAGTTAATTTGTATTTGAATTTGTTCAGTTCCATAATTAATTTGTGGCTACAAATTCATTTATGGTTTTTGTAACATTATTTGTTTTAAATACAAAATTAATTGAGAATTTGAAACCTCCCTCGTCCAAGTACTACATATGGAGGTGTTATCCTCATTATTCTTCACATAAAAAAAAAAATTTTAAGATTTCTTTTTTCACTCTAAGACCCCGTTTGATAGGCATTATTTTTCAAGGAATTAGGAAAATATTTTTCACTTTTTTAGCTATTTGATAGGCAAAATTTTCCATGGTGATTGCAAATTTTTTTTTTTTTTTGGCAATGAAAACAAATATCATAACCAATGGTAGAAAAAATTTCACTCTAATGAATAATTTCCATGTAAAGAAAAGTCAAATGAATACTAAATTTTGATTAAAAAAATGATTTTTTAAAAAACAATTTTTTTCTTTACTTTTTGACAATGAAAACAATTTTTACAACCAAGTGTGGAAAAAAATTATCACTTTAATGGACAATTTTAATACAAATGAAGACCAAACGAACACAAAATTTAAAAATTTTCCGAATGAAAAATTATACCAATCAAATACGCTTAATTAACAATTCCTTACAAAACAATTTCTAGGCAATTACTTTTCCTAGAATTCATTTTCTTTCCACTCATTTTCCACCATTACAATCAAACGGACCCTATATCAAAAATGAAATTTTGACATAAGATAATTTTGAGGTTTGTTTAAATATCTGATGCATATTGGTGTAANAACAAATTTTACAACCAATTGTAAAAAAAATTATCACTTTAATAGACACTTTTCATCTAAAACAAAATCAAACGAATATAAAATTTAAAAATTTTCCGGTGAAAAATTATACCAATCAAATACACTTAATTAACAATTATCTGCAAAATATTTTCGAGACAATTATTTTCCCTACAAATCATTTTTTTCACCCATTTTCCACCCTTGCAATTAAACGCACCCATTTCTTCTTCTCTTTGTTCAACAATTTAGTTTTAATTAACTTAGATAGTTTAATTTAGGGAAAATTACAACAGTGATCCCAAACCTTTCGATTTTTAGCAGACTTTACCTTAACATTTAGTTTGTACCATCAGATGTCTCAAACCTCTTTCATTTTGTTGCAACGCAAGGACAAATGGATTGATTCCATACATTTGACTGTTAGTTAACTAGAGAAATTGGTTTTGACTAAATTTAAAAAGGGTAAAATGACAATTTTGTTATTTTAACATAAAATAATTAAAAAAGGAAAAGGAAAACAGAATAGAACTATTCATCATCTTCCTCCCTTTCCCCGCCCCGCCACGCCAAGCCAAGCCAAGCCAAGCCAAACCCAAACCCAAACCAAATCAACCACCGATTCCACAGTCTCCAATGACCTTAAACGTCGCCGCCACCCACTCTTCACCATGGAACAACTTTTTGCAGGATTATATTTTCAAGAACATCAAAAGATAATTTTGCAACTAGGTTTCCATTCTTTGGGATATTCAATAATTGAATCACACACGAGTTTCGCACTTGGTTTCACTTCAAAATCAAAAAAATCTTTAATTCAACGTATCCAATTCTTCATACACTACCCCGATGGTTTGTTGGAATTTGAATGGGTGTGTTGGGATTTAGACCAAAAAGATTAGAAAACTAAATCCCTGCAAGCAGTTACCCATATCTACTACTGGTAAAATCAGTGTCTAAGATAGTGACGAGCCCGAGAGGAAATGTCTTTAACAACAAAGAAAACTGAACAATCTTCTACAACGATGAATTTTAAAGGAAAAAAATACAGCCTCTATTTTTTAGGATTTGACAACCAAATTTGTCAATGAACACTTCATTTTCTTCCGATGCTTCCTTGGATTCTTTGCACAGTTGAGCTTCCAATTAGTAAGGATTATACAAAATATTTTCATGTTTTGGTAGGAAGGGGGCGACGGAAATGCGTAGTTGATTTGGTTTGGGTTGGCGGATGGGGGGTTGTGGATGGATGGGGAACAATGTTGTTCTGTTTTTCCTTTCTTTTTATTTCTTTTTTTAATTATTTTATGTTCAAATAGTAAAGTTACTATTTTGCCTTTTTAAAATTTGGTCAAAATCAACTTCTCTATTCAACTAACGGTCAAATGGATGGAATCCATCAATTTGTTTTGGCGCTGCAACAAAAAGAAAGATTTGGGACCTCTGGTGGCACAAATTAAATGTTAAGGTAAAGTATACTAAAAATCGAAAGGTTTGGGAACGCTGCTGCAATTTTCCTTTTAATTTAAGAGTTCTTTCTTTATTCTATGTTTCCTCCCCTTTTTATTCAAGCTTGGAGATAGAATTGTGAGCATTCTTAGTTCACCTAAAGTAGGGAGAGGTGCTAGTCAGCTACTTCCAACCGTTGTATCCTAAGAGAGACACATCATCACTCTTTTTGCACCATATTGAGAATCTGTTTTAAGGAAATTGTGAGTAATATAGGTCCTGATTCCTTTCAATACCACTACTACTTTAACAATCATTTCCTCTAATTTTATTGTTACTCTATTTATTGTAATGTTTTCTTCCATTATTTTATTTATACAATTTCAGAAGTATTTCTAATTTCTTTTTTTTATTTTCCTAACATGGACTCGGTTCTATTCATGTTGTCATGCACTAATTGGTTCAGTGTACATGAAATATGAAAAATCCATATCATCTCGCCGCATAATTATTGTGGGGAAAAAGTAAACGAAAATAGTAAATCTCTAATGGCCCAACCAGTAAATCGAAGAAAATATTCGAGATCGAAAAAAAGTGCAAATCTTGTTTGTATCAAATTCTGCGGGCTAAAACAAGTGGCTTGTCCCCCTCAATGGCTGTGGCCCCATGGCCAATGTTGGGCTGAAAGCAGTGTGGGACAAATGGTGGTGGAGATGCTGGTGATAGTGTTTTGTAATTCAAGAAACTACCTTAAGAAAGCAATAATATAGTTCTAGCTACTGTTTTTATCTTTTTGTGAGGGCAGCAATTTGTAACTATTCTTTATTAATGTACCAATTCCTCATGTCAAGTAGATAAGACTATGATTCAGGTGTTTCCATACATTTATTTTTTGCCATGTCACGTTTTAATAATCATGTTTAAAAATAAGATTGGTTGATTTGGTAACAACATTATTGACATATAGACATGATTTGGTAACACAATTAGTTGTTACATGCCTATATCTTAACTTCTAATTTATTTAATTTTGAAGTTACAATGAACTTGTCAATGCCACTTTTTCCTAACACTTGTTCGTTTTTCATCTCGTCTCTAAAACAATCGTAGACATTTGGTATCAAATTTATAATTGTTGACTGCAGTGTAACAATTTCAAACTAATGTCATACGAATCACATTCATGACCGTCAAATAGAAAGTAGAAAAATGGATACAAGGGCGAGAACTGAAAAATCATAAATGGTAACATTTCGGCGTCCGAGGTGGTAGGAGAAACAAAGTGGGTAAGACATTAAGGTGTAGCAATTTGAGTAGCTTGAGACTCGAGATATTTTGATTTCGATGGACAGTAAAAAATTCCTTAAATAAAATTCGATTTGAATGTCAAATTTTATCTATACAAGCTATAAGGTTGTTTCATCCTTGCAAAATATTAT